GAAACCAAAATAAATGACACCAAGGATCATGCAAAGCTTTATTTTGAGGATCAGGCTGACACTTCCATTTTGTAGAAAAGTATAAGTAATAATAATTAACTTCTAACCTAAGCTAGCAGTGACTTTAAGCCATTAACCTATTATCTATATTAGCACCTGTACTAAGCAACCACTTGATTCATATGCAAACATTAATAACCATAGCAGGTATAAATCGTGGCAACATTATCCATCATCATCATCTTCCATTTAACTATATCGTTAAATTAAGTGAATCTACGTTGCCGCTGCTCAAGTCAAGTTCTCACTATCCGGGAGAGACGGCGATTCGAATCGATTCCTATCCAGCTGGAGGGGTAATCCTAACACAAACCCTGCTTCCCCCATCAGGGTCGCAATCAAGTCACCTTTGGTACAACTCAGGAGGAAAATAAAAGAAAAGTCACGGGTCTGAGCCGCCTGGCATTCTCAGAGAACCACTCTTCCAAGGGTGATCGGGCCTTTAACTTGCCTTTGGGCTTACGCCAATGGCTCTCCGCACATCCTTACTACCTTCAGAATGGCCCAACCCCCACGGTTCTCGGCCTGAGTTGAGCTACTCGGCTTCGTGGTCAGAATGACTTATCCGGCCAGCTAAGTGTTAGGCTGCGTTCAACATGACCTGAGGACGTACAACGTATCGGTCCTTAAATGACACAGACGGAGTCACTATGTTCAAACCTACACAAGACCCCGCCCGGTCTTAATTCATTATTCACATGGTTCTTTTCCACGATAGCAAATATAGCCAACCGTGATCCACCTCATCCTAAAGCTCGCAGGTGACAGGAAATCACCCGACTTCTACCGCACTAAGCATGGCTATGCATTTAACCCGTTCCTAAACTTAAATAGGATTCAAGTGCGATATCTGGACAATGATAGATATATAATGCAGCAATTGGTTCCAACCAATTCCTATACTTAATGCAGCATCAACAATAAAAGATACTCAATATATTTGTAAAGACATGGGAGACTTATAATGCTCCGGGGCTTGCCTTTCAGAAAAGAGGATGGACGGTGGTCAGGACACTCGGGCAACTCCTCCTCGCTGGCTGCTTCTTCGGTTGCCTGCACCTCGAGCTCCTCCTCCTGGCTCGCTCCCTTGAACTCCAGCAACGTCACTCCCTCCGGCACACCTATTTCATGAATGCACAAGATAAATATCATGGATGCACATGAACGAAAGTCAGGGATGCTCGGGGAATGCACATGTTCGCTGTAGTCTGCATATTCCAACTTAAGCCCTATTCAAATCACTTTACTTACCAAGTTTATACAACCTAATGTATAATTGCTCATCTTCAGTTAATGACCTAGCACCTGCACCTAAGCATATTCTCAAGTTAGGCTAACCCCTAAACAATCAACGATAACATTGCACAAGCATACACTCAAGCATTTGTATTTCAACACAATGAAGACTATGTAGCGGTACAGTAAACTAGCCATAACTGGAGATTTATAAATCCAAATGACATGCAACAAGACAATTTGGAAAGCTTATGAAATTGTCTACAATTCATTTTTAGACCTCTAAGCATGATTCAACACTTTACCAAGTCGAATTCATAAATCAACAGAACTCTGTCCACACAAGACATAAAGTAAGCAAAACTGGAACCTAACTTTAAACGGCTGTAGTTTCTAAACTACTAGGCCAAATGCCCTCAAATTTTAACAGGACCTAGATACATAAATTATCTACAACTCTTGTGTTCATCACATTCACACAAAACCAAAATATCATGGGGAACTTCCTAAAGTCCCCAGATCTGTCCAGAGGGACATAATGCAAACGAAATAATTAATAACTTATGATGTAAACACATAATTGGATAAAACTAACTCTACTCACATATCACTCATATCACATGAACACCAGAAAGTAGGGTGTTCATCACCAAAATATTTCTTTTAATACCTTTCTTAATTTATTTAATTAATTAGAGGAAATGGTAAACATATATTAAAACTACACCATTAAATCTACAAAAATTACAGTAGATACTACATGCTCTAAGTAGACTACCATAAAAATTTCATACCATTTGAGTAAGTATAACAGCCTACACAAAAATGATAAGGCATAATGGCTTAAAATGGCATAATTAGGAAACCCTAATGAAAAGTGTCAAGCAACAGATTTTATATTTTTCTTAGCATCCTTAAGGTACTAAGATACTACATACCAAGTTTCATGGCCATAGAATTCCTAGATAATTTACAAAAATTCACACAAGTATCCACCAATGATAAAAGGAAAATCTATAACTCAAAAACTACACATGCAATGACTCTCAAATTTTAACCAGAGCTTCTACTAAGCAATACTAGCTTACCCACAAAATTTCACAATTTTTGGATCACAGAAACTCAAGATATGATTTAAACAAGTTTGCATGCATTCAAAAACACATTTCAAGTTCCTATTTAATTCATCTAAAATTTCTACATCATGTGCTCATGACATATTTTTATTAAATACTAGACTTCACAGTGAGTCTAACAAAATTTGAATCACACCATTTGGATCTACACATTTGGAGTTACAAAATTCACAAAACAGCATTCAAAACTAGAAATATTTGAACTAGCTTCTAATACTCAGTCACTGAGAAGCGAGGCCCTCGGGTCAGACGACCCCACAGGTCAGCAAGAGGAAACAGGGGAGGCGGCGTTCGATGGCGCGGTGGTGGTCTAACTCGCCGACGGCGAGGACTCCGGTGACACCAAGGCCACCTACGTGCTCTATGGAATGAGGGGAACCGATTGGTGCTAGTGGCACGACCTAAGACCTAGCAGAGGGGGCTCGTCGCCGGTGATGGCGGCACAGCAGAGCTCCGGCGTGAGGTACCGGTGACGGCAAGCCACGGCTGCCTCAACCGAGCTCGGTATGAGCTTTAGAGGGTCGCTACGTTGTTACCCAAGCACAGAGAGGAGGATGGGAAGGTTCTTAGCTACCCCGACCATGGTGGCCTCAACTCCGGCGAGGTCACGCTCATGGCGGCGGTGGCGGGAAACGTCCAATGGCCCTCACCTAAGGCTCGTCTGGCTCAGCGAGAATGTCGACGAGGTCCGTGAGGTGCTAGTGGAGCTTTGGGTGGGATGGTGTTGGCTGTGGTGCAGCGGCGAGCTCACATGAGCTCGGCGGAGCAAATGGCGACGGCGGTGGCTTCTCAGCGGCTCAGGCACGCGCGGGTGGAGCAAAGGAAATGCAAATTGAGCTGATGAACTGGTCGGGCAGCTGCGTGGGTGGGTTCATGTCGTGGCTGGCCGCGCCAGGGCATCCGCGGCGCGTGGCAGCGCGCTCAGGCGACCGGCGACGCGTGGCGTACACGCGTCGGGCGTTTTCTGAAAACGGTCATCACTGTAGCTTGCCTGAAACTCTGATTCAGTGATCCATCAACCGACTCATAAGCGAAGTTTGACGATGATTATCTCCTAATCCGTGATGATATAGCTCAAGGTGTAATTGACAAAGTTGAACATCTACATGTGAACTACAACTTTTATAATTGGAGGTTTGGCTTTGTTTGTAAACTACAGAGCTCTAAACTGGGGTACATGAAAACTGAAATTCAACTAAGACTTAGAAATATTTTCAAGTGTTGAATCAGCCTTCAATACTGACTTGTGGGTCCTTTTTGAACATATTGTGCACATTTTCATGACTTGGCTTCTAAATAAAGTTTGTTCCTTATAAAATTTGCTACAACTTTGCTTTAGGTTGCTCAGACATGCAAACATCCTAAGCTACACTTTTTAAACAGTCAAACAAAAGGTTTTAGGGGTCAAAACAAGTCAAACCGCTATTTGAAATCACAATTAGGCAACATGGTCAACATGAACAATGTTCCAAATGACATTCTAAGTGTCACTAAGTTGTTTAAGAGAATTATTAGCCACACCACACATTGGTCGCACAAGAATCAAGCAAGGTATGTACTGAAACAATGAAAAACACATGAAATGTTACACTTGTTTCATAGTCATGTTTCACATATTTCATGATCTTGTTGCATAGTATGAACTAACCATATTTCACTAAAGTGAGTTACACATGTTGCACTTGAGTGTTGCACACTATTCATTTCATAAAACAAACACACATGGAATATAAACATATGTTGTCATGTTTCACAAGCATGTTTCATGCAATATAAGCTCATGAATGGATGAATGATGCTCATGTTTATGAAATGCAAGTGCAAATGTGGAAGCCAAACACCTGGGATGTTACAGTATGTACTCCCTCCATCCCAAAAAGCTGGGTCTGCATATGTTATCAATCCTCTTGTAGCTACCTCCTTGCACATGCTTCTAAACTCTTGTTGATATAGATATTGAGCCACTTAAACTCAGTGTACTTGTGTTTTGACCATATATTGAAACTTTTAACTGTATATTGTGAGTTCCCCATAGACAATTGCTCTAATTCTGAGGCATATTATGTATAGTGTATTTTTAGCCGAATTGGTGTAAATTCCTATAAAGATAAGAATGATCTTCATGCCCCTCTTTGTATTTTTAGGGTGCTGCAAATAAGGCTTTGTGTTGGTGCTATGTGAAGCATAAATCTGTAATTAAAATAAGGTTCATGATCAGAGACTATTTGTTGTTATAGGTTTTAGATGTTCTACGTTAAAAATTTTGAGGTTCTCATAGTAACGCAAGGGCATAGTAACGCAAGGGCATCTGCTAGTACTAGGCCCTAGCTAGTACCAAAGTAAAGCCCACACAAGAGGCACTGTGGCATTGGCAATGGTGGTCCTTAGTCCCTTTCTCTGGTTTCCTTTTCAGTCAATAAAAAAAAAATCCCGATCCTGATGTGTTGTTCTTCAGCGGCGGCGCCAGCGCTGGCCTCCTCGCTACCTCAGCTCTGCCGGGCCAGCCAAGAGAAATAAGTCGCCGCGGTGCCGAAAGGTAAATCATTGGATTCTAGGTGGAGGAGATTCATGTTCACGAATGCGCAGCGCCAGGTCGAGCGCACCGGCCGTTCCGGAACTCCGCGAGACCAATACCTTCAGGTCAGTCCTGTCCCTGGTCCCTCCCTTTGTTTTTTTCATTCCCCGTCGATTGGTGCTGGCGCTGGACATTCACCTTGCAAATCCGTTTCTCACTGATTAACCTGTTCCGCTTGATTGCTTGTGCCCAGGATCTCGTGACCCAGTTCCAGAACGCCATGGATGAAGGTTGGTGTCTACCTTACGCTTGGTTCTTTTACAGGCCACCGTTCAGCCCACACCCTACAGCCCAGTCTCTGTGTAATTCTCTAGCTTCTTGAGTGTCAGTTTAGGAAGCAGTCTCGGCAGCAATGCGCTTTAGTCTGAAAATTGTACTAGTAATTTGTGTGATTAGAGGTGATGCTTTTTGCTCCTGGTTGATTGTTTCATTGGGATGGAATCTATTACATTGATTAGTTCAAGTGGAAAGATGTTTTAGTATTGAGTTATACTTCACTATTGGATACTATAGACAATTAGAGCAGATCTAGAGGGCAAAACAAAGATATGCAGCATAAGCTAAACTGGTGTAAACATCTAGAGAAAAAGAATGAAAATATGCAGCACAGACTAATTCAACCAAAACAAGAACATCTGGTCCGTGTGTCGGCAGTACTTGCTATATGTATGCTTTCTGGATGCTCTGATTAGAATTCAGACAGATGAGCATTGAAAAATTATCCCGTGTGGGCAATTTATAAAGGAGAAGCTCATGGAGATGATGTATTCTTTATGTTGAACTCTATAAGTTCCATGCTATTATAAATTGTACACTCACTTTATCTGTCTTGTTTCAGAATCTAAGGAGAAGATAGCTGCTAACTAGGCAAATTTTGCTTATGACCCTTTTAATTATGCCTTCATGCGCCAGGTTGATTCCACTAAACTTTTCTTTTGGAACACTTGTTGCAGATTTCCTGTAAAGACAATCTTGAATTGTATTTATTACTTTACAACTGTTTAACTCTGCTTTTATTTTCTCAGCTGAATGTTCTTGAGTTATTCTTGGACTGCATTACAGAGCCAAATGAAAGGCTTGTCGAGTTCGGCATTGGTGGAATATGCAACTCCTGTGTTGGTGAGCAACACAATACCTTGAATTCTATGATTTATTATTCGATGTGAATTCAATGAAGCGCTCAACACCTTCTGTGTCCACCTTTCTACATGCAGATCCTGCAAATGCTTCAATCATTACTCAGTGTGGCGGAATCCCATTGGTTATACAATGCTTATCGAGCCCAGTGCGGAATACTGTAAGTATTTCTGAAGCTAATGACACTATAACATTGGTACCTCCAAATTCCGTACATGTAGTCCTCATGTGAACAATTTCCCTTTTGATGATTGCATGACAGGTGACTTATGCACTTGGGGCTTTGTATTATCTTTGCAACCCTTTGACAAAGAAGGAGATATTGAAACCAGACGTAGTTAGGACTATAAGAGAGAGTGCTTCAGCTGGAGCTGTCAACACCAGCTTCAGCAATCTGGCGAATGCTTTCCTGGAGAAACATGTTGATCCATGATTTTCTCTGAGAGTTTTACAGGGTAGAGTAAAGCTTACGCAGGGTAGAGTAAAGCTTACGCATTTCATGTACTTGTCCTGTTTTCATATTCTCGATATATGAACTAAAGAAGAGCTCAGAACAAATCTGATTTCATTGTTTTGGGTAGGATGCTTTGCAAAGTTGTCATAATGTTGTATATATAAGGGAATTGAGCAAGGGCTCCCTTTGGAACTCAGGAATTTCACACGAAAAGTGCCGAAAGCAAGAAAAAAATCCTGCATTCTAAACAGGGCCTAAAAGAGATTTAAAAATGAAAGTCGGTTTCCAGGCCGGGTTCGAAAACCTGCTATGCACCCATCTGATATTCGAGAATGTAGCTTCTTCTGTTCTTGGATTGTCATCTTGTCAATTGCTTGTGAATGAATATTCACTGAAGTCGCAATGTAGCATCGTGAGTTATTTGTTTTCGCTTTTCAATCGGCGCTGTAAGACTAGACTACCTAAGGTGGGACATGATGATCTTCCTCACAATTTTACGTATCAACTATGCTCCTGTCGATAAATAAGCGCATGCTTTAAGTATGGACCAATGCATATTTAGCTTGTTTACTGTGATAATTCTGGTGTTGTCAGAACATTTCAAGAATTGTTCTTTTTTTTTTCGAAAGATCAGAACATTTCAAGAATTGAACTAGCGCGATGCATGCAGGTTGCAGCATCTTCATGTTCTACTTTGTTCAAGGAAAACACACTTTTTTAAAAGGAAGGAAAAACTTTTCGAAGAATGGCATTCTGCAAAAATTGGTTTATTCGCTCCCGGCTCGAGTCCGTTCTCCGTTCCATTCCATTTCCACACCGCTAGGGCGATGGGAAGGAAGGAGGAGGTAGCATAGACTTCAGGGCCCATGAGCCGACCTGGTCTAAAAGCCCATATGGCATCAGGATTCAGGAGAGGCCTCGCAATTCCTTAACTGAGAAGCCCACGCGGTCGTGGACTCCGTCACCGCATTCGTCACCGCCTCTGCCGCCTCCCCGCCGCCTCCTCCTTCCCCTGCGATTGCAAAACCCTAGGACAATTCTCCACCAATTCCTCTAATCCCTCGTCGCTAGGTAGTTCCTGCGCCTCCATCCCGATCCCCTGTTGATTCAATCGTAATCAGGATGCTGCCCGGATCGGCGCCGGCGGCCGGCGGCACCGGTATGTTCGTGCCGGCGGCGACGGCGGGCACGGTGCTCTGCTGCATGTGCGGCGTGTCCATGCAGCCCAACCCGGCCAACATGTGCGCGCGCTGCCTGCGCGCGCGCGTCGACATCACCGAGGGCGTCCCGCGCCACGCCGCCGTGGTCTACTGCCCCGACTGCTCCACCTACCTCCAGCCGCCGCGGTCCTGGCTCCGCGCCACGCCCGAGTCGCCCGAGCTCATGCAGATCCTGCTCCGCCGAATCAACCGCCCGCTCGCGCGGCTCCGCGTCTCCCTCTCCGGCGCCGAGTTCGTCTTCTCCGAGCCCCACTCCAAGCGCCTCCGCCTCAAGCTCCGCCTCCGCCGCGAGGTGCTCCACGGCATCGTCCTCGAGCAGACGCACCCCGTCGAGTTCGTCGTCCACGACCGACTCTGCGACTCCTGCTCCCGCGCGCAGGCCAACCCCGACCAGTGGGTCGCCGTCGTCCAGCTCCGCCAGCACGTGCCCCACCGCCGCACCTTCCTCTACCTCGAGCAGCTCCTCCTCAAGCACGGTCAGGCTTCCCTCGCGATCCGAGTCGCGGCAGCCCCCGGCGGCCTCGACTTCTTCTTCGGCTCGCGCTCCCATGCCGCCCGCCTGGTCGACTTCCTCGCCACCGTCGCTCCTATCCAAACTTCTACAGCGAAGCAGCTCGTCTCGCACGACACCAAGAGCAGCGTCTACAACTACAAGTACACCATTTCGGTCGAGATCTGCCCCATCTGCCGCGAGGACCTCATCGCGCTCGGCCCCCAGGCGTCCCGGGACATGGGTGGCCTTGGCCCGCTCGTGCTCTGTGTCAAGGTCACAAATGCCATTGCTCTTCTTGATCCCCTCACGTTGCGAGTGCACCACCTGGAGGAGAAAAAATACAGGGTGTATAATTTCAAGGCAGCTCTCACCAGCAAGCAGCTCGTGGAGTACATTGTGCTCGACATCGAACAAGAATCGCCTGAAATTTCCATTGATGGGTCTCGTTACCAATTGGCTTATGCGCAGGTTGCTCGGGTGTCAGATTTCGGGAAAAATGACACCATCTTTACTGTGCGGACGCATCTTGGGCACCTGCTGAACCCTGGGGATCATGCCCTTGGGTATGATCTCTATGGTGCCAACCTGAATGATGATGACATGGACAAGGCTATGACCCGGTACAGCTTACCTGAGGTGGTTCTTGTCAAGAAGAGCTATGAGAAGAGGCCTCGCACACGGAGATGGAAGCTTAAGAGGTTGCCGGTGGAGGAAGATGCTGCTAACAAGGCCAAGGGCGAGGAAGAGAAGAGGCTAGATGAGTATGAGGCTTTCCTCAGGGATTTGGAGCTGGACCCAGAGATGAGGTTCAAGATGAATCTGTACAAGAATGAGGACTATAGGTCTGAGATGGCATCAACAGTTGGTGATGATATCCCTACGGTGCCAATTGAGGAGTTGATTGAGGACTTGACCCTTGGTGACGATGAGGGGGATGAAGGGGAAGAAGCTGCGTAAGGCAACACTCATGCTGGAATGGTGGAATGAGCAATACTGTCTACTATTTGTTTCTGCATTGCTGACTGAGATGGGTTGGCCTGTCTGCCCCTTCAGGTCATAGGTCTGAGATGCGCCTGTCAGTTATCATATATGTTATTTTTCGTCGTTATTACTGCTATAAGTTAGAATTTTGGTGGTACTGCTTAAGTTTTGAATTCTGCTGTTTGTTGGAATCAACTTTATTTCAACCCTTATACTGTGTATTGGAGATGTTACAACCATGCCCAGCTTTACATTAAATATTTATTAAAAAAAACTTTACATTAAAAGGATTTTCTATGCAGTTTGTGATCTGTTGTTTCCTTGTCACCTTGTTGCCCATCACAGCACTTCATAAGTTCTAAATTTTCGATTTTATAATTTCTGTTGATGATGCTGTCACCCTGTCTTTACCTGAGCACAGCGACTGTGACTCTTGAACAGTACTGTTATGTTGTTTGTTACTCCTTTACTCGTTGATCATTCTGATAGCGGGGCAAGAGAAGGTCTGAACTGGCTCATTGCAATTACCATATATGTCCCTCCTGATTGTTAGAGTTTTCCTAATAAACGCTTCCATGATAAGCTGCGCAAGATTATGGTCATAATAAGTTGGTCTGATTTAGTTTCTGTGTTTTAGTATATAAAATGAGAGCTATAGGGAGAATCATGGCTACAAAAGGCTCAATGCGTTGTTTGGCCTCTAGTTTTAATTTATTTTGGTTATAAACGGCTTATAAGCTATGTTTTAACTGGGATCGACCGCACTGTATTGGTGATCCGCACTGTATTGGTGGTGGGATGTTAACAACCATGTTTTTGTCAGTTTCTCTATTGGTACTTAAATTTTCAGTTTCAAAGTTTCTTGCGATAGGCATGATGATTGTTTTCATTCAAGTAATTCTATCAATTAATATGTTGTTCTAATTCACTGGTTATTCTATAGTTGATCAAATTTAAGTGGCACATACTAATTAAGCTGTATTTATTTTCAGAACATCAATTAGCTGATTAGTACCTGTTTCCCCAACTTCTCAATATTCTGTACCTCCCAAAATAGCCGTATACCTGGTCATTCCACTGATCATTCTGGTCGTTCCTTTCGTCTTGGTACTGGCCAAAAGCCCAAGATCCTTTGATATTGCGCCAACCGCATCTCCTACGGGCCTGTTCGGCCTTACAACTCTTTTATCTTACCCAGGTTCGTTAGATATCGGCAAAATTCGACTCCCAAGAGCCTCGCCACCTCCTCCATTTGCCGAGGCTCCTATCCCCGCAATTGTAGGTCCTCCATTTTGCCGAGGCCTCTATACCGCAATTGACGGTCGGACTTCCCCCATGCTCGCGCCGCTCCGCAGTGGGAGTTCCTCTGAATCTCAGCCGCCTCCTAATCTGAATCCGGCGTTCGTGAATCCAGGAAACACCAATCAAGTAGCTGAGGAACTTTGACGCCTATCCCCGTTTGGTTATCAATGAACTTAGTAGTAAAACTCTATTCATATATGTTAAATTTAAATATATGCACTTCGAGTTAATTGAGTAAATATCTGAGCAGAAATCTAAATCCGAGGCATCCGTTTTGCATTCATATTCGAAAATATTCGTATCCGTATTCGAATTCGAATGAAAATATGGTAAAAGGTGATATCTGGATGTGATTCCATGTGAATCCGATCTGTTTTCGTCCCTGGGTGCAGTGCCACCGTCGTGACATTTGCCAAGTCGTCTCCCCTCGTTGGTTCGTTCTCCCATGCAACCACGTGTAAGCGTGGCAAGGTGCCACCGCGTCACCATCGCATTGGCGGGGCCTGCCTAGTACATGGACCCAGCATGGGCTGCGTTGACCTAAGGGGTTCTGATGTCAACGATGATGACCTTTGGGGGTCTCATGTACGGCCCTGTTTTGCTACAGAACTTGAGAACAGTGTTTTCCTCTCGCAGAATTTCAACATAAGCATCAGCATAAGCTAAATTCCGTTTTTTATTTGAGAACTCAGTATATTTTCTTTTGTTCGAACTCCAAACATAGCATGTAAATAATATATTTTACGATGGCCTCGATAAGCCCTTTGTACTAGTGAACTTCAGTTCAGTATTTGAGATTGTTTGCAATAATATTTGAATTACTTTTGAGTGTCTATTTTGCCTAGTTGCAAGTACTCCATATTATCTTTTAATGTGTATTTTTGGCATATCTTGCAAACAACTCAGTGCCATAGAAACTTTTGGAATTTATTAGTGGAACTCTAGTTTATAAAGATATAAAATTAAATGTTGTTGTTTTTGAA